GAGACTCAAGTGTAGTAAGATATACTATTCATTGACCCAATTGTACTAGGTTGTTCATTATAATTACTTAAAAGTAACATAAAGAGATAAACCATTTACACGAGTTCCAAGTACTCTGCTTATGATATTGAAGAGTTTAATGTTTTGATATCCTCATACTGTCGAAAATAGTTGAAACGATCCTATCAATACTGGTCCATCTTGCTATTTTCATCTATTTGGGCTTAATTTGGATCTTGCTCGAAATTGCTTACATGCATGATATCGAAGTTAACCCAAACCATAAATTTGGGCTTAATTTGGATCTTGCTCGAAATTGCTTGCGGTACCCACATACATGCATGATATCGAAGTTAACCCAAACCATAATACAAATGTGAATGTTATTACTAAAATTCAAAATGTTTACAAATAAAGCCTCTTAACATTAGGAAAATAACGACATAAATATAGAAGACACCCTAGGGCAATTACGAAGTGATTTAGGGTTTAAATATTATAATTTTGAAAATATATTTTATAAAATTTAATAACTTACTTCTCCACCCCCTAACTATTCACCAAGTATTAACGCAAGTGCACATATCGTTCAAGTAATATAGGACTTTCTTTAGTCCCGGGTATCGATCTCACATGGAATAGCGGAAGTAATCACTTTGGTGAAGTTCTAGTTTACTACTATAAGGTTCTAGTTTGAAATGTCGATAAAGGTGGTTTTGCTATCACTTCTCCCAAGTTACAATTTTAATCTTGTGTTAAAACTTATCTGGAGAAATCAATAAGGTGAAATTAAAGATTAATAAAAAATACTTTTCTCTTGTGAATAATTAAGTAGGTTGTCAGTTTAAAGTTTAAGAATGTAAATAAAGTAATGACAAAAGCAACATATGTCTATCTACCATCTCCCGAGTTATAGATACGATTAGTTCACTAATTAATTGTTTTCTTTTGGCAGTAGTGCTAGTTGGTGCCACATATAGGCTTCCCATAACTGTATGCCCCGCCTGTCTCCCAGAAAGCTCTAATCCGAACCTCTCAGGATATTTATCTCCATAACTTTGCACAACCACCTAACTACTACGTTTCATAGTTAAATGGACAATATAAACATTCTCATGTTGATTCACCACTACTCATGGTCAAGTCAAGTGGGTCACAACAAGTTTTAACAAATCGTATGACTGATAAGATGTGTAAATTAAGTCTAGGAGAACATTCATCACATATAAAATTAAGATTTATTCTTAAACTTCAACACCCTACACTTACTACCAAATCATCACAAAAAAGTATAGGGTTTCTACTCACAATGCATGATAAATTCAATAGAAAACATCATGAAATAAAGCTTATAAACTAAATATGTGTTGTATGGGATGACAAGGCAATCAAACAATCTCTACTTAATAAAACAAGTTCACTTAAACTAAATATGTGATTTAAAGGATCGCAAGACAATCAAACAAACTCTACTTAGCAAAACAAGTTCACTAAATACATGTTTACTGGATTACAATGCAATCAAAACATACAATACTTAGCTTTAATCTCTCTGAAATCCTTCCACCGAAGTTCTCTACTGCTCATTGCAATTGTTGATAGAATCGCTTACAAATTGCTATCAAATTCCCTTACAAATATCTCTAAATTAGTGAAATCCTACTCCAGTTCTCTACTGCTCCTTGCAATTGTTGATACAATCGCTTACAAATTGCTATCAAATTTCCTTACAAATATCTCTAAATTAGTGAAATCTTACTCTCCTACTCCTGATATGGATTTCCTGAAGTCCACCTTGGAACTTCGTCCCCAAGTCCTCAAATGGCAACAAATTGCGCTTTTCATTGTCACGAACTGCTAAATAACCCCTAGAAAACTGCTTCGGACAGTTGTGGCACCTAAACGCCCAACTGTGGCTCCTATGCGCCACGTCCTCTGTCGGTTGGGGAAATGAACTGGCGTCTAGAGGCCACATTCTCTGGATTGTTTACGGGGTCCGACGCCAAAAACTGGCACTTAGGCGCTAGTTCAGGTCGAAGCTCCACTGCTACAATTGTCTCCTTTTCGCCCCGTTTTCGCTCCAGTTCGCTCCAATTGCCTTACATTTTATACCCGCAACCAAAAATATAAAAATATCTTTCTTTAAAGAAAATTTCATTCATAAACTAATATAAAAAGTAAGGGGAAATTAAGCATGTAAAAAGACATGTAACGAAGGTGGTGGATGGTGGTTGGACAATAGGTAGAGGGGTTGATTGCGGGTTGCAGGCGTAGTTGGAGGCTTGGAATGGCGTGGCTGCAACATTGGAAGGCAGGGAGGAGGGCAGACAGTAGTAGGACAGCAGGGAAGAGGGAAGCGACGACTGGCCGGGAGGCTGGAGGGTTGGTGGCAATATGTTGGGATGGAGGGAAGGTATTGCCACAGCAGGTGAGGGTGCTGTATGAGTGGCGGCAACAACAGAGGGAGCGGGGAATAGAGCTGGCAACAGGGAGAACATGAGAAGGTGGACCGCGGAGGGGATTTGGGGAGGATAGGTATCCCCACAGGATCAAGTTACAGTCGGAACACCCCTCAAGCCTTTGGAGAAGATCACCGTCTCGGGCGAGTTACAATCTGAGCACCTCCTCGCCTTTGAATACAACCCTAGAAGGTAAAACAACCCCAACGGTTGGCTTGGACAAAAATATGAAATCTAGAAGGCAAAAACTGATTTTAACCAAAGCGAACACACCTATATATAATGGGGAATAGTAGATAGAATATGTAGGGAATATAAATAGAAAGGTGATGGAAAACGGAAGGAGATAGACAAAGAAAGTGCTAGAAAAGGAAGGGCTAGACATGACAAGGATTTCAATAGGATAATGGGGGGCAGAAGGGGTGGTAACTCCCCTCCGCAATGCATTTTTTGAGAACCTTTTACAGAATTGCACTCAATATCCATTAATTTTGTTAATCTATTTGAATTAATACCAAACATTTAATAGTTTATGTTGACTTTAAAAAGAACATAATTTTTCTAACTCCATTTTGTATATATATTTTTGGTTAATTTTTTTTTTTTTACACAATCCTAAAAAAATTATAACATAATTTTCTAAATTGGTCGCTAGAAGTTCTAAAAAATATTTGAGCAAATTAAAGTTAAGACTTCATGTAACACTATAGGAATAGATAAATAATAAGAATTCATGAAACATTTTGAGCCACTTCTTGTTTTATGTGCACAAACACTATTGCAATCAATGAAATGCCTCCCAAGTTTATGAGATAGGTTAGATCATTAGGTTTTATAAAGTGGGCTTGAATATGTAAAGTTTAAATTTGGGCTAAAGATTCTCACGAGTTTAATCAAAAACTTGTTGGAAAATTTACGTGCATACCGCACAATTCTTATGGATTTACATATCTGATAGCTAAAGTTTGATATTTATATTACTAATCTATGCATAAAAAGGCATATTTGACTTTTAAAATGTTAGTAAAAAGTAGAAATTTTGATGCAGTGTTAAAGATTTGAGTGTTATGAATGTAAATATTCAAGCTTAGGGGCAAGGCTTGTAAACACATAAGAATTGTGTGGCATGTTTGTAGATGCCCCAATCTTGCTTCTTTCACTTCCCTAAGGGCTCCAGAGTTTTATGGGAAAATGATATGCAATGTTTTTATTTTTATGATTTTCAGTATTGCACTTTAAGTCAAAATAGTTTCCACGTATGGATATGTTGTAGACAAACGAGTAAGAGATTTTTCTAAGATCTTATTTTTTCGTTGCTTCAATTATAATGATTATTGAATGTTACAAAAACATCTAGGAATTATAATTCAGGCACTAAAATTAGTTTCATTCTTTTGCCAAGTTATATTACATTCAGAACCACTCACAATCCAATTACTAATTATGTAAATGAAATCGGTTCAAGTAAGTTTACCAAAGCAAGAAATCCAGACCTCACGACTTAATAAGGAGATGATTTGGATTTTATGGCCGCACCTTGTTGAAATCAAAGAAAATTACATATCCATCCAGCAGACACATGATTGATAATTTGAGGAAATTTTTTATTAAATGAAAGATCATAAATTACATTCCTTTGAATATTAAATTATGAGGTTACTACAACCACATACTTTATTCTTAAAAATGAATAGAAGTCGTCGTCTTTGAATCATTAAAAGGTGTGAACATTTTTTCAAAGGTGTGAACGTTTTAGATATCTCGGGTCTGTTGTTTAAAGTGATGGTGATATAGATGGGGATGTTATTAGTAGAATTCAGGTTGGTTGAAGTGGATGAATGCATCAGGCCTATTATGTGATAGAAAAGTACCACTTAGACTTAAAAGTAAAATTTTATAAGATGGTGGTGAGACCTGCAATGCTTTGTGGCACAGAGTGTTGGCCTTGAAAAGAGAAGCATAAAACAAGGTTAAGTGTTGCTGAGATGAGAATGCTTAGGTGAACGAGTGGATTGATACTTAAGGCAAAATGCAAAACAAATATATTTGTGAAAATGTTGGTTTAGCTCAAGTCACAAACAAGATTAGATAGAATAGTCTTAGATGGTTTGGTCACATTAAACGTCGACCATCTGCTGATCTGGTTGGGAGAGTAGATATTTTATATTCAACTTTTGTTAGGAAAGACAGAGGTAGATATAAAAAAACTTGGGCATATTGTATAAAAAATGATCTCAATCTATTAGAATTAAATGACAATATGACACTCAATAGCATGTAGTTAACCCCACTTAGTGTGATAAAGGCTTGTTTTTGTTGTAGAAGTCGATGTCTTTCTGGAAGAATCTTGCAGCAAGTAAGATATTATTATAGAAACATTTATAAAAGATATGATTATTATGAATCTTGGTATCATATTAAGCTCAAAGTTGTTTATGAAATATATATATATTTTTATGTTTGTTTCACTAAAGATAAACAGCTGTGTATAATATCTTATGTCAATCATTCATGTTCTCATGTTGGTTAGTTTGACCGCAGGGAAGGATAAAGGAGTTCTAATAACTGGAGATGAAAGTGATGTGAATCCCAACTGCAAACATGCATCTAATCCTTACCATAAATGTAATAAGTTTTGCTTTGCAAATTCTCCCGTCATTCGTAATGATGGTAAGTTATTTTATGCCATTAGCCTCAATATTTTTTACTGTAAATTATTGTCAGCTTTTGCAATTTATGAAAATAAAAATTTCAGTTATGAAGGCAAAGGAGCAAAAACTTGTTGGCACTGCAAACAGAGCAGTCAATCCCGCGTGCAAATATGCATCAAATCCTTATCATGTTTGTGCTGAATACTGCTTCCGGGAGGCCCCTGAAAGGGCGCTGCCTGGGCAAGGTAGTCCTTAAGCATTATTGTTTTTAGGGGCATTTGCATACTTACCGTCCGATTCCTACATATCTAACACCTAAACTTTAAATTTTTTTCATTTATACCTCCCAAAATTTTCATATCACACACAAAAAAAAAAAAATCACCATTTTAACTTTTAAAAAGTGAAATAAACCTTTCCATGCAGGTGGCATGTTTGTAAAAATTGAAGTTTAGGTGTTAGATGTGTAAATAGTTTAGGTGTTAGATGTAGGTGTTAGATGTGTAAATACATATGAATTCTGTGGTATGTATGTAAATCTTCCATCTTTTTTTTTTAATTCTCCATCATTTTAGCTCTTATTCATGCTTTAAATTACGTATTTTTCAGCCATTAATCCAAAAAGCACAAAGGAAAGAAAGAAAATGGTCAAACATACAGAAAGATCAGGCGTGAACCCTGGCTGCAAATATGCATCAAATCCATTCCATAAATGTTCTGAATACTGTTTCCAAAATGTGGCAGATAGATATATATCTGATGGAGGTAAGCTAGTTATTCTCTACTTTTGTTTTTGGGAAATTTACGTATTTACCACAAAATTTTTTTGTATTTACATCCCTAACACCCAAAGTTTGATATTTACACTTTTAACTCTTTGGTTTTATAAACCTATGCACTAAAAGATGTATTTTTTTTTAGAAAGATAATGATTGTAGTAATTTTGATGTGATGTTAAAGATTTGAGTTGTTGGCATGTAAATATTAGAGTTTAGATTTTAGATATGTAAATACATAAAAGTGGTGTGGTATATATGTAAATACCCTATGTTATTTTTTTGGAATATTTACATGCGTGCCACTCAATTCTTATGTATTTGCATATCTAATATCTGAACTTCAATTTTTACATCACACCACGTTACTTATGCATGAAAATGTGCATTCACTTTTTAAAAGTTAAATTGGTGGTATTTTTGATGTGAAACCAAGGTTTTAGATATGTAAATACATAGGAATTTGGTATTATTTATGTAACTGCATGTTATTCTCAAGCTAATAATAAATCAATGCAGTCACTAAATCAAAAGAAGGAAAGATAACAATTAGTGGGGCAGATAGAAGAGATGGGAAACCAAGGTGTAAAAATGCTTCAAATCCTTACCACAAATGTACTGATGACTGCTTTCAAGAGATCTTTCGAGACAACCCGGCCGTTGAACGCATCTCACGTAACATTCTTTAACTTGAGTTTACTTTCTTTAAGGAAGATTTACATACATACCACAACTCTTATGTATTTACATATCTAACACGTAAACTTCAATATTTACATATATATGCCACTTTATTTTTGCATGAAAATGTCCATTTTACATTTTAAAAGTTAAAATAGGGGTATTTTAATTGTGATATGAAAGATTCGGCGGTATAAATGTAAAATGTAAAGTTTAGGAGTTAGATATGTAAATACATAGGAATTGGGTGATATGTATGTAAATGCCTCTTACTTTATAGCAGTCCCTTCTCTCTCTAAATCCATCTTCTCCTTCGCCGCAGCTCCGATCAACGAAAAAAATGACGGCAGACCAAAGGAAAGAAAGGCAGACCATTCGATCATTGAGAGGAGCTTAGATGTTGAAGCCAACGGTATGGAAGCGTCTAATAGCAGTCATAAGTTTACCGATTCCTCGAACGAAGTCAGCATTCATGCTGAAACTAACGAATCAGAATCTGGTATTCCTCTGATCCGACTCATTATTTTTGTAAATATGAGAAAAGTGTTAAAATAGTCCTGTGACTTTTTGTGCAGGGTCATTGTAGTCCCAGAGTCTATAAAATTGTAAATTTAGGATATATTTAAGACAACTCTAGCTGTTTGAAAAGAAACTGCTGATTAAAAAACTATGGTGGCTATTACAAATTCTTTTTAGAAAAAGTTAAGACTGCAACAATCTTTCAGCCATCACACTTAGCTAAACCCGGTGGCAAAACCCAGCCTTCAGTTACAGCTTTTTAAAAAAGTAGATAAAACATAGTTTTGCCAAACAGAAAAAATTATTGTGTTGCACCGCACCACTACTGCACTGCAGCTCCAAACAAAACCTCAGTCCCTAGACTTTTTTAAAGAGTGCAAAGATAGTCATCTCTGGTGATTATTTGAGCCCATATTAAAACGGTATGAGAACTAATTTGACTTTTTTATAGACTCCGGGACTAAAATGACTCTAAGTAGTCTCTGAATACTATTTTGGCACTTCACTCGTAAGAATATCAAGTTATATGATTATATTGCTCAGCCACATTATTGCTGCAGTTTTTACTAAAGATGAGAAAGAGGCGGGTATGATTGAGCTGCTGGATTCGCAGCCGCTACGAATAGATGCTTCAGAGTTATTTAAAGAATGGGCAAAATATTGCTCACTAAAGGCTCAGGAGGACAGTGAAGTCAAGACAGAAAAAACAGGGCAAAGGTTAGCATATCACTTTGCTTTGGTTCTCTGTTAAATGAGATTTCTTTGGTTTTAAGCGCGGAATTCTGTTTTTAGTTTAAAAAATAATTTCATATAAATGCTTAAATTTCACTTTTTTGGATTGAATCTTTGATTTTGTGTAAAATCTAAGGGCTTGCGCTAATAAGTGCTAGCGAGTTGAGCTTGATCAGTTGATAATAACTAAAGTTTGTGAGCCGACGTGTTTAGAAAATATTAGGGCGATTTACGTACATACTACACAATTCATATGTATGCACATATCTAACACTCAAGATTTGATATTGACATTTATAACACAATGGTGTCATAAAGCTATGAATGAAAATGTGTATTTCTCTTTTAAAAAGATGGTGATGGTGATATTTTTGATATGATATTAAAAATTGGAATGATATGCATGTAAGCATGAATGTTTAGGCGTAAGATATGTAAATACATAAGAATTGTGTGGGTTGTGTGTAAATCCCCCAAAATATTAATATTATAAAATGTATTAAAATTTAAGATTTTATGTATAAATTATTATAAATTTTTTTAAAAAAATTATATATTATATTTTATGCTATTTAATTTATTATTATTTATCTTCAAATTCATCATTCAATTTGTCATTTTACTATAACACTGGCTCAAATTAATATCGTTTTCAATCTTTCATGATAAATAAGTCAGCTCGTGAGCTGGCTCGAACTTATGGAGTTAAGCTTCAGCTCCAGTTTGAACTCGATTAATCAATCAAGATTAAAATCAAGCTCAATCTACTCAACTCGTTGACACCTCTAATTGACACCTCTTATACTCTTAACTGTTCTAGAAAGGAAAAAAATTGTGTTAGGAGCACTTCAATAAAACAACATGCTGAAAATCATTTTAAGACATTATATTATTCTCAGTACGAACAGTTTTACATTTCAAATAAGAAAAAAAAAAGGGAAATTTATATACAGAGCACCCAATTGTTATGGAATTACATTAACGCCCAAAACTTTTATATTTACATATCTGACCATTGAAAAGTGTAGCAAGTGCTGCTTTTGATGTGATATGAAAGAATTGGGGGCTATGCATGTTAAAATGAAAGTTTTGGCATGAGACACGTAAATCCATAAAAATTGAGTGCTATGTATGTAAATGGCAAAAAAAAAAAAAAATCATATTCCTTATTTATCTTACAACAGAGTTACATAATCTTCAATTTTTAGTACATTATTGTTTCTTTCAACAAAATTAAAATTTTCTTGGGTAAAATTTGTAAATTTGCATTCTGTGTTGACTCCAGCTTCTGTCTATACAGATGATAAAAGGGTGTATTTGCAAAGAGCAAATTCGGTGGCTTCTGCTTGCATTTGTCTCTCCTTAACAGGCTTTTTTGGCCTTCATTCTTCAGAAGGGAGCAGAGAAGGAGAAGTGATCAGAAGGGTTAGAACACAGAACTTATATGGATCAAAATTGTAGAAATGTGTTTGGTTCATATAATATTTATCAAAATGGTTCGTTCGAGGGGCTGCATCGCCGGAATGCACTTCTCTTTTACTGTATATTTTATGGCTTTTTTTGTTTTTTTTACATAAATATCCTTTTTCGGTTTGGGTTGTAATGGCTTTTGTTTATTTTTTTAATAAAAAGTAGGTGTTTTACATGCATAAAATATTGCAGTTTTGTATCTTTATGATTTGTATGAATTGACACGAAACTCTCGAATAGTTTGTACTTTTATGCGAGAATATGGTAATTTATGTTAGAATTGAAATTAAAGGGAAGAAAATTATGATGTTGAGTTTGGGCGCTCATTTCGCCTATATGTATATACCACATTGGGCTCGCGTTAAAATTGTTTATACATATATGCTCGTAACTCGCCCGCTCCACTTACTGTCTCTTTGTCTCGTTGCTGACGACTGCTTGCACATTGTAGCCATATACTTTGTACCTGGACCCAAGCAAAGCCACATTAAACATTGAAGAAAGAAAACAACAAAGGCTTATTAGCTTAGTCACCCCTCACTAGTTTTCAAACCATTCCTTTATTGTTTTCATTATAAGAGTTTCTTCATATTCTAGAGAAGTTATAGTACTAAAGTTCATTGTTTTTCTTTTTTTATAAATTTTGTTCTAATGTGTTGTTTATACTTTATATTATAAAAATTAAACATATTTCTTTAATAAATATTTTTATTTCATGAAATTTTGTTTCATTACAACACTGTTTGAACATCATGTAGATCTCATTACTTGGTTTTTTTTTTCTTTGAAGTTTTTGTAGCAAAACTCTGTTAAATTTTATTTTATTTTTTAGATGATGGAAAGAGATAATTTATCCTTTTAAAAAAATTATATTTTCAAAGGCTGTTATGGTGTATGGTTACATCAATAAACTTAAATTAATTTCTTCATAATTCTGAAATAGAATATAACTTCAAAGCAATAATTGAACATCTTCAAGGCGGACGCCCGATTACTATTAAATTTTTATCGTATAAAGTGTCAAAATAGTCTCCAACTATTTACATGTGGCTGTTGTAGTTCCAGTGTTTACAATTGTTAAAAGCAATTTTTTTTTTTGACTACTTTAAAATTGAGCCCTAATAATCCTCAATAAACAGAAGACAGCTCTTTCTTAAGACATAAAAGTTAAGGAAACATCTTGTCCTACCACTGATTAAAAAAGAGAAATGAACATATTCAGTGTAAGTTTTAATCCAAATTTGAAGGGCAGAGGGAAATCCATATGCCTCAGTCTATGATCTAAAACATGGCGATTGATCTTATCTAGGGATTTCATCAAATCAATTTTTGCACATAATTTTTCAATAATATTAGGAAAAAAGAGTTTAATCCTCTTTGCAAGCAACTTAGAAATAACATCGCAAATAGTATTTCAAAGAGATATATGTCAATCATCATTAATAGGCTGGGCTTGAGAGCTTTTTGGCATGAGAGTGATAAAAGAGTATTTCACCATGTTAGAAAGCTTGGAGGGATTGAAGAAATGTATATAGCCTCAATATAAGGTCCATTGATGTGCCAAATATCCTTTGGAAGTAAATCCATCCAATCCATATACTTTATCATAGCCAATATTCATTTTGTATCTCTTCCACATCATTAAACTCATGCATAGGAGCACCATAATCAAAGGTACTTAGGGTATGAGCAATAGGGAGGATCTCACCATTATTTTTATAAGAATTAGAAGGGATGTTGAGAAAGTAGAGAAGAAAGATATGACTTCATTAGCAGTACTTTTTGAGTGCAGATGCAAGAGTTATTAGCAAGGAGTTCTCTCATAAAATTTCTATTGCTTTTAACTTTAGTTTTTGATAAAGGATCTTAATATCATCATCTCTTTTTCCTAACCAAGCATATTTAACCACTAAAAATTGGAGGATTACTGCTACTTTCTTCATGTTTGAGAATGCAATTAAAAATTCCCATAGTAAGCCAATGCTCATTGATATTAGTAGCCAAAAATTCAATAGATTGCCACAAGTCTTTCTCCTTTAAAGAGCACTTTTCACCATAAATAAGAGCAATAAAGAGATTTATGGTAGAGAAGAATGAAAAATACAATGAATATACTGAGTTTGCACTTCTTATGCTTAGAAAGAGCTAAAATTGTCAAAAATCTCTTAAAGATAAGCACTTTGATGCACTTTGGATTGTTGGGCTTGAAGATATGACAGATAATGCAAAATAATAATAAGAATAAGTTTATCATAATTCATTTTTTAAATTGTGTTATCCTGATAGTTATGGCCATTGGGATCCCAAAACTTATTAAGATGAATGACAAAATTAGGAATATATTTTAGTCAAAGATGCACCCATACATTATTGATGCTATGAATTAAATAAATTGGCACTCAAATTCAATCCACTTTCTTCATAAATTCAAAATCTTCTAATTTATTTTAAAATGTATATAACATATGAATTATCAACAAATTACTATGTTACATTTATCTCAAAACAAATACAAACATTTTATTAATAACATAATCAAATTTCAATTACAATAATATCAATCAAAATTCTTTCTTTTTTTTCAATTTTGAATCTTTGTTTCATGTTGGATGAATTTTTTCATCTATTTTAATAAGGAGGGCAATATCTTTCTTAAAAAAAAAAAATTCTCTTATACATATCTCAAATCATAACCATATTCCCAACTCTCCTAAGCTTTCTTAATACCATAATCTACATGTGCCTAAAACCAGATTTTCTCAATCTTACCTCAAAACAAAGGAGGAAACATTAAAGTTTCATTATAAACATGCATTCAAAGCTTAAAACACATAAATCTATACATAAATGAGTAAAGTTTAGTCTTCTGATTATTTATATGGATCATTTTAGTTTGTCAATATAAATGTTAAACTAATCCTCAAAATTTTTTAGCGCTGAAGTAATCATCTCTTTGAAGAGTTAGCGGACAACTTCAACTCATATTAAAAGAGTTTGAAAATTAAATTAATGATTTTAAAGGCTCAACTCTGTAAAGAACCAGTAAATCATGTTTATACTTTTCTCATTTATGAACATGCATAGTAATAAAACAAACTAAGATTAGCCAACAGTAATAATAATATGAGTTTAGTTTCATTTATCTTCATGCTTTCTGACTCTTTAATATTCATCTCCTTTCTTTTTTCTTTATGAATTGAGTGCAGTGCTCTTGTCTAAGTGGTGTATCTATCACATAATTTGGATTCAACATTCAATTGCAACATTAAACTTTTCTTCTTTGTACTTTTTAAATTTTTGTTGCATCCAGGGTGAATTTCTACATCTATTTATAACAAGGGGACAATATCTTTGTTAAGAGGGAAAAAAGGTTGCTCTTATACATATCTCAAATCATATCCACACTCCCAACTTTCCTAAACCACCTCAACTTTCTCAATAGTATAATCTAAATATGATCAAAGCCAGACCTTCTCAATCTTACCTCAAAACAAAAGAAACAAACATCCAAGTTTCAATATAAACATGCATTATTCAAAGTGTATAGCACATATAAATCTATTCATAAATGATTAAAGTGACAAAATAACCTCCCAATCATTTACATAGAATCATTTTAGTTCCATAACTATAAAAATGTCAAATTAATCCCCAAACTCTTAATGATGAAATAGCCATTCCTTTAAAACTTTTAGTGACTATTTCATCCCATCATAAAAACATATGGGAACTAAATTTACAATTTTTATAGACAATAGAACTAAAATAACTTCCATTAAAAAATCAAAAGAACATTTTGACACTTCTCCCCTTCCTAAACAAAGCATTAAAACAAAGCAAGAGAAGCCATCACCAGCACTTTGAAGCCTAAGAATCCATCACCATCTGAGTAGAACAAACTGAACCGCAGCTGCATTTGGGGCACTCTTCAAAGTTGGCCAAAGGAAACGAAGCTGATAATGGACCAACATAGAAGTAGAGATCAGTTCCACTCCTCACAACCTCCTTGATCCCAAACCAAACCACCAAAACCCTAACGCTGACGCCATTAAGCTCCTTCAACTGACCAGACTTCACCTTCCCCGTGATCCTTCTGGCATACTTGAGCAGATACCCTTCTCCCTCCACTCGGAACTCGCAGTCGCAGGGAAGAAGGACCTGGAAGCCGCCATCTTCGTCTAACTGGTAACTGATCACTCCCTCTGGAAGAATCCCTTTGGGGAAACCGAATCCCTCCAGGATCTCGTAGGCGGAGGGGGAGTTTGATGGGCGACCGAGGGAGAGGTGAAGAAACAGGAGGAGAAGGAGGAGAGCAGGGAGTGTATTAGACGGAGATGACATTTTTGATGGATCTGGAGATTGGGAAATTCTGAAACTCGGCTGGTTTTTGAAAAAGGTGGGATCTTTGAGACGAAGGAGTGGTCAGGAGAGGATTTTGGGGGAAGGAGAGCAGGCCGGAGAAGAAAGAGAGGAAGATAGAGTGGGAGAATGAGAATTTGATGAGAAAAAAAAAAACGTTTTTTGGAGAAGGAAACAGAGAATGAAGGAAGGTTTTGGGGATAATGAGCTGTGCGAGAGCGAAATAAGAAGCATTTGATCGTTTGGTGAGATGAATGACGTCTTTGGCGGAAAGAAAACACAAAAGAGAGCTTCCGCGCGTGCGCGCTCTAAGAATCCGAGGCCGTTTTTTGGGCATTTACATACAAAACACACAACTTTTATGTATTTACACTTTATGTTACATGACAAATTAATATTTTTAACTTTTATTAAAAATATAATTTTTCATGTATAGATTTATTGCACTAAAATTTTAT